ACAAGGAAGCTATTAAGCTAAGAGTTCCAAATGGTGAAGTTGAAATTATCCCTTCGTAAATTTTACGGACGCCATCACGAGTTGGTTGACCGTTATGGAATAACCGTTTCATAGATGATATCGGATATGTTCCTTATGTCGTAACTACAATACCCTTCCCTTTTCACGAATGTGACTTACCGAATTAGACTATTTACCGGATTTGTAATAACATAAGCAACACGACGGGTGCCACATGTGGAGCAGGATCTGCTTACCCTTCCGGAGCACCTGAGATCACCCCCAGTTTTTGGTGGGTTTCGTGTTGCTTAGTCTTTAGTTTTCTATGTTGTGTCATCTGTACTATTATTTGTCTGTTTGTCTTTTTATTTTTGGCCATGGCGTTGTCAGTTTGTTTTCGATCTATGAGTTTGACTGTCCCTCTGGTATCTTTCGTCCCCCTTTGTGAGACAGTAGGAATTCAAAATTTTAATTGTATGTTCTGAATCTTCGTGATTTCGGATAACAAATTGTACAGTCTCAAAAATGTCTATACCCTCACCAGCCAATAGAAGTTCAGTTGATATAAAATATCTTTCTAATTTTAAAAACAATATTTATCTTGCTTCAATGTAAAAAGGGCACTCGAACAAATAGTAGATACAATGGTTTTTCTAAGCAGCGCTTTTATCTTATTTTGTTTTCCCTACCATTTCATTGAATTTCAGTTTTATGTACATCTGCCCCATATCTTTTTGTTTCGTAAATTTCAACAGTAGTATTTAGTTATTTGCTAATGATTTAATTTTGGATGTAACACGTCTTCTGATTGGCTGAAAGTCTTTTGTCTATCAGCTCATAGACATAATTTTGTCATGTGACCGTGACGTCATCAACGTTTTTTCATGATTTACTCATTAAAAATGGAATTTAGAATTAAATTATAAGGAATGACTGTAATATTTTGTCCTGTCTATTCGAAATATTAAACCTCGAGAGAGTTATTCAGTGTGAACCACATTTTTGATGTTATTTCTTCATAGACAGAAAAAATATCATAAGCAATTAATTATTTCAGTATTGTACACCTGTAGTGGGCTAATATGCACAAACCCACTTAAGTTAAGATATCCAATCGTAGTACTAATTTATCGTAGGACATGTAGAAAAATCCGTTTGTTCGGAACAAATCTTAACTTAAGTAGTATAATGCATATCAGCCCTGTTCCATATCCCTTCCTCTTGTAACTGTCAAATGTATAATGAAATTATGCTTACATGTACAACAATGAAACACTTGACGAAATCAACCTGGACGATATAGCCGTAATCAAATATAAATCATTGATCATTCTGGTAAATTGAAAATGGTTAAAAGGAAAGAATGTAAACCTATTTCCCCTTTTATTTCTATATTTTACCTGTACACACTGGTAAAAGTAATACTATCCAGCAGTTAAAGAAAACCATGATCAAACCTGTAGTTTTGTGCATTTAAATTTTGTGTTTATCATATATCTTGTGATAAGACATTCTCTATCAATAGAACGAATATCGGTCGTAAACTGTTTGGTATGATTCTATTTATCTTAAATAAGTAGCAGATGTTTAAAACGAACTAGTTTTACAAGACAATTCAATTTTTGGTACCTCAATTCATAAGGTAAAGAACTAGTAGCTGGGGTTTTTGTAATCATGTCCGGTTTGTTAAAATCTTGTACATTTTCATAAATATTTCAAAACACTATGTAAACCGCACTACTTTATGTATACTAATTTTTAGTTACAGACAGTATGAAAACACCGTCCAAGGTTCATCGATTTTCAACTTTATTTTTAGTTTGTTCTAATGTTGTGGTGTTACCTCACTTCCTATGGACCAATTCACTACACAAGATGTGCAATTTTGACTAGCTTCTTTATTGATGCTCGAGGCCAAAGTATTTGAAAATCCAAATCATTATACAAACGTTGAAGAACTTATGTAGAGCTAGTAGCGTGAGGGAGATAAATTCCGTAATTTCAAATAGTTTCCCATGTTATTTCAAATAGCTTCCATGTTCTATCTGCAAATTTCTTATAAATAATATCCGTATGTTCATGCAAGTACCTAAGATTGGGCTATTAGACTCGTGATACCTTCGGGAACTAACAAAGGTGATACCAACGGAGAGTAACGGTCCACCAGTAGATATATCGTTCCAGTGGTACAATAAGCGGTACCAGTTTTACTGCACCAGCTGCCCATTGCGACAACTAAGTAATGCTCGAGGCCAAGATTTTTAAATCCAATATGAATTAGGCAAAATAGGCAGCACGAACTCTATACAAAATTAGGGATCAACTCGGATGTCTAGGCATTTCGACAACGTATGTCTTTTCAGTGATGTTCGACGCCAAACAATTAAAACAATCTAATATATATTATGCAACGCTATAGGCCTATTCAAAACTGGGGATGAACTTAGTTGTCTGGCCATTTTGACGCTCGAGGTCAAACAATTTAATTGATAGAGATAATGCAACACTAGCCCTATCAAAAACTGGAACGCCTGACAACTAAACACTTTTCAGCGATGCTCAAGGCTTAACAATTTAAAAACCACCATAGATTATGCAACACGAACTCTATAAAAAAAACTGGGGGAGGGGAACTCATATACTTAGAAATGGTAAGCTGTTCATGTTCAATTCGTGACTTCCGACTTGTTACTCCTGTTTAAGATAACAGGATATCAAATGGCATATCTTCAGATTTCTAAAATTTTTGGCACACTTGTACTTTGATTCTAGTTACATCGGATTATGAAATAAAAATGGGGGTCACAATTTTTTTTTTGTTTTGTCGTGATTTTCATAAGAAAACGTCAATTTTGCCGACAAATTTACATATTAGTGTATGGAGAAAATGGTTTTTTCCCCCTTTTTTCCTAGATTTTTTAATGGATGGCTATGTTCTCATATACGGAGTAAGAACGAAAACTAACATAATATCAAGGATAGTATACTGGATCCATGCATGTATAAAAACACATATGTCACCATCCTTGTTTTTTTTAGATAAATTACTTCAAAGTAGACCGATACGCTTAAAATTTGACAGAAAACGTTTGGCTTTACTGAATACAGAATAGCGTTATTTGTATCCAGAGATATTGAAAAAAACTTATATAACGGGATTCCAATGGTGTTGTTTTTTAATCTTATTTTTATTTATCTGTCGGGTTTCGTAAATTTCCTATTAATTCAATATAACATACTGTTGATTACTGATTTAATTGCATTTCGTCCTGACCGAGTGCACATTTAGCTTTTCAAAACTGAATCTTCAACTTATCCTTCCAAAATAGACAAAGGTGATGCCACCGCTGCATGCACGAATAAAAAAATATTAAAAAGTTTAATGTAGAACATTGTAAATAGCGATGTGATAGTTCAATTTGAAATGCTTGTGTATAAAAGACACATTTGATGCACCCGCCAAAAAAGGTTAAACATTATTATTTGTGAATAATTAAAAGTAAATCGATATCCTGATAAAATACACATTCTTGAGATCTCTTAATATATTATATAATCTGTATGATGTAAACGTGTGAGGAGTAAACCGGACTCTGTACTCTGCATATTACCTTAAATTACCAGATTGCCAAAGTTCAGTTTCCTGTCATTTTTTGAAAATTTAAGGAAAAACCAAAATCCTGACAATAAGCACATCTTTAGTATAATGCTTTGAGTTTCCCCCTGAAATACAAGAAGTTTAAATGCTTTAACAGATATGTACTATGATATTAAAATGTGCTACTATTAAAATCTGACTGTGTTGTGAACATGTGATATTATGATTTGATAGATTTAATACTTGTTATAATGTCATAGATTTAATACTTGTTATAATGTGATAGATTTAATACTTGTTATAATGTGATAGATTTAATACTTATTATACTTAATATACTAATTTACATTCGAATTCAAGGGACCAAAGATCCTTTACTAAAACTACAAAACAGGAGTAAACAAAATATTCGTCCATCTTGCTAAATCCGTTGACGAGTCATACTATGAGGAAAGGTATTAAACACTAGCAAGTTTGTAAATGTATATCTCATCACTTAAATTTGTCGTTTTTCATATTCTAAATGCGGCAGTGAATGCAATGTAACAAACGCATTAGCTTAAGGATTCAACCTAGCAAACTGTTGTAGTAAGGACGAGATAACCAATTTTCAACATATATATAGAAAAAGTGGTATGATTGCCAATGAGAGAACTATCCAGCAAAGTCTAAATGGCGTGGATTTAAGCAACTATAAGTCACCAAACAGCTTTCAACAATGAACAAAATTCATAATATATAGTCAAGCTAGAACTTAGAAACAAATTTGAGTTTTGTCTTTTGTTATCTCTTAAACACTGTGAAAACGAGATTTATTCAAGTTATATGTGTCCATGATATAGTCCCATAAGCCCAATGGTTCATCAATTTATATTTTGATAACCAACGAAAGTGATATATAAAACCGGATGACCCGCCATCGGAACAATTTTATCGCGTTTCAGAAGGTTTTACTTTTCTACGTAGCTCCTGTAATATTCTTTTTCATAATTTTATAACATTCGCATATATTGTAAAATTTTTGAAAATCTTAAAAAATCCTTGTTATTTTTTCATAGTTTTTGAAAGATAAAAGGTGCCAATGTTAAATGAAAAAAGAATCTAGAGGGAATCATTTCCCGCCAAATTTTCAATGGCTTATATCTCAAAAACAAGGACACGAATCTTCATTTTTCTCTGCTTTTTTAGTTCCATTATTTGTAAACAACCAATCTATAAAAAGCTTGTTATTTTGTAATTTTACAGTTGAAAACAACGCCTGTTAAATTATAGGAATGACAACTCTACAATAATTACTGCTGGTTCATTCCAACTGAAAAAGGGTCATCGTCTAAGAATAAGTTTGGACTGAAATAAAACTAATCATTATTATCTTTCTTTAGACAAAATAACAAAACTTGGAAAATTATGATATCGTTTTTTCAGATACAATTAATATAAATATTTAATCCATATTTCAAATAAATGCCACCATGTAAAAATTAAGTTAATACTGAACACATTCAATCAAAAAATGTTAAACAGTTTTCTCCGACATAGAACCAAAAGAGCACTTTCCTTGCTCAACAACTGTTCGAAACTTCGTTTGGGGACTCGGATTGGAACACTGTATGATAATGCTTGTGACATATCATAATATAATACAACTATGATCATGTCTTGATGTGTCTTCGGTACTGCTTCCGCTTTCTCTCTTTGAACTATCTCGTTTTCGCCTAGTAAGCTTCCGCCAAAGGAAGCCTAGTGTCTTTCTCTTCTTTTTCCTTTTATTTTTATTTGTAGTTTTAATGATTTTTAGTTTTCTCTTTGTCAATTTCAGTCCTCGAGATTTTTTCTTTATTTTTCCGTTTTGTTGTGGGTTATGTTCATCACAGTTTGTGATTTCATTTTCTAGGAGATGACCATTTGAATGTTCAGTTGCTGTACATGGAGATGTCAGTAACTTATCTTTTTTCGATTTATTTTTATCTTGTTTTGTACTTTTTTCTTTCTTTTTCTTTTTCTTCTTTTTCTTTTTTGAATTTTCATTCTGCTTTCGCTTTTCTTCCATTATTTCTGGCGGTCGTAACATGTATGGATGATAACTTTTCATCTGTTCAAAATTAGAAATGTTATAATAAAAAGAGTTGAAAAATACCATTGAAATTTCATTATTAATTACTGATTATCGTGTGAGGTTGAATTCTCGGTACTCATAACTATTTATAGGTCATTTCTCTAGAACTTCTAGAATTTTATTAGATAAACTCAGACGAAGTAACTGTTCTACAGGAGCATCAATTATAAATAATACATTATAATAACAGCAGACAGAATGAGTACAGTTTATCTAATATACACAAATAAACAATGTCTAGTTATTAAAACTTAATTGATACTATTTATTGTCGTAATACGGTGAATGCATTATCACGTATATTTTTCAAACGGTAATAAACAAATTCATACACCAATGATTTATGCCTTGAGTGCACTCGATTCGATTTCAGAAATGGTGTTGTATCAAAATTTGATTTGTTTGGCTTAATAAAACAGAATTGTTTCAATGAATTACGATTTAAAGAAGAAAAAAGCAGTGGCAAAGAGTAAAACTATAAGCATTGTAATTTATGTCAGATAATGAAATCTGAAAGATATATTTAAACGTAGTGCATGATTAAGAATGTTCCTACTTTTTACAAATAAGGCAAAATACTTGTGTTAAGGGTTTCCCTATTGGCCCCTTTTTTAATGATATGGTTAATGTTTTTATTGCCACCTTTTGTAGTGAATTGTGACAAAATTGATGGTCTCCCTATATACTTAAGATATAAAAATCAGCAAATTATATAAAAAAAAATTCTAAGGGAGCAACCATTTAACTTCAAGGGAGGGGTATATGGTTTTTTGTCTGAGTCAGACATTTTTTTTTAGTTTTTCGACGCTATCAATCAAATTATTTTTTTCAAAATTTAACACTATAAGGTATGGGGAAAATCTAGATTCAGATAATTTTTTTTTTCATTTGCTTGACCACAATATTTTTTTCATCAAATTGGGGATCAGAATATTTTTTTAGGAAAAAACCGTAACCCTACCCCCCCCTTATATATAAGTATAATTATTCTTACCACTTTAGGATCAAACGTTTCAGTAACATACTGAGCAAGTCTTTTAAACATCATGAAGACATTTTCATTCTTTTTGGCACTGGTTTCTATGAAGTCAAACGCCAGTATTTTGGTTGCTAGCTATAAAATATAAACAAACTTTACTGCTTTCCCTTTTAAATCATTTCAGCTTTTAATTTTCTTTTGTGTGTTTCTATAGTGTTAGTTTTCTGGTGGCGTTTTGTGGACTTATTTGTCTGTTTTCTTTTTTGTGATGGTGTAATCGGTCCTTCTGGCACTACGACGTCAACGTATATTTTTGCATGCTGACTTGATTTTGTGTCGTATTAACGTATCCCCCAAATCTCATCATTGTTATATTCTACTATTGGTAAATTAAGTACTTCGAGTTTGCTTCCAGTAACAATTGAATGCCTTCTTTATGCACTCGTTTGCGTACCTTTTTATATTCTACTCTATAATGTTAAAGGTGGAGGGTTGAAACCTTGAGATTACGGCTCCAAGTTTGCTTTGCTTTGTGTTTCCGTCCGAGTCGAAGCAAACAAACAAGTATGTTCTGTAAACCTGATAAAGGACTCTACCATATCCATGCATTATACCTGCCGAGTTTGGTATAAATGTGCATGATGATGATAAGAGGAGATGATGAAAATTAAGATAATCTAAGTACAAATGGTCCGTCGGATGAAAGACGCAAGTGAAGAAGCTCACGAAGCTCTGTTGAGCAGGTTGAACTAAAATTCTAAACTCGCCACATGGTTATATGCCAGGGCAAGTCAGGTAAAATCATTCACATCTATTACAAAATAAATGGAGAATGTGTCCATAGGACACAGATGATACCTCATCTTGCATATAAAGTTAGAAAGATCCATCACTACAGAACAGTAAAAGTGACGCCACCCAAATTCGAACTTGATCTGAGTTTTGTGGTAATAAGCATTGTGTATAAGTTTTATAACATTTGCTCGAGGTAAACTGAGGTTAAAAATGGAAACTAATTTCGGGACGTACATACGGACGGACGAACGAACGAACGAACGGACGAACGGACACACAGACCGAAAAACATAATACCCCTCTACTATCGTAGGTGGGGCATAAAAATAAGTTCTGACTGTTTTTACTTTTTAACTATTTCTTTGATTTAATTTTTTTTTAACTTGATAATAAGGCTAACTTACAACTGATAGATAAAAAGGTTTTTTTCACCTTTTTTTAATATCCAAGAAAACGTGAACAGGGGGTTCCTGAATCTCACTTCCCATCCCTTCTCCTAGTCCCCCTGTAGAAGAATTAGGAAGCATCGTTCCTGAATAAGGATAAGTGTTTATGGAAGTAGTTATATAAAGAAGCAGCATGCTGAAGAAGAAGTTGCGTCCGAGTCAATCATTCGCTGTAGCATAAAGCCTTTGCTGAAGTATAAAGCATTTGCTTTAGCTTGAAGCATTGACCTATTTTAAGATAATTGGCTTTAGTTGACCCATTGACACATTTTAAAGGTCAATTAAGAGCATTGGCTGTAAACAGCAATTAAGAGCATAGGCGTTAAACAGCATTTAAGAGCATTGGCTTTAAACAGCAATTAAGAGCATTGGCTTTAATCAGCAGTTAAGAGCATTGGCTTTAAACAGCAATTAAGAGCATTGGCTTTAAACAGAAATTAAGAGCATTGGCATCCAAGAGCAACTGTAAGAAAAGCAGTACACTTGATCAAAGCAAATCTTCCTTGGCATCCATATTCAACAGTTATAACCCTGGTTACTTTATTTGAGGACACAAAGCCATTAAGCCCTACGTGTCCGTCGTAAATATTAGGGCGACCAAACCATGCGCCACGTATCTTGCTGTATCTGGAGAAATAACTCTGGTACAAACTCCGGAGAGTACCTACTCCGTAGCCCCGGTACGTGACAATATGTGTATAATGAAGAATTAAGCATCAATTACTTATGTTGAAATACTCTGGTCTAATGGTCACTAGTGACCCTATTTACAATAATTCATATCATATATACATCTTTTTGGAGTTTATACTTTTTTGGAATTAATATTGATTCACTCATAGGGTCTTTGCATCGGAAATAAACACATGTACATTTATTCTAAAACCAGTTGTTGGCATGATACTGGTTATGTTCTTCTCGTATATTTTATGATGGTATCACTATGATAGTAAACCCCTAATGGGAGGGATTGTGCTTGATTTTCATATGATGAAGACATAAATCTTTCTATCAGTTTAATTGAGCTCTGGAACTGGCATGTCAGTAACTGTTAGTATTCCTTTGTTTATTTATGTTAATCATTGTCATTTTGCTTAGTTTCTTCTGTTATCTATTCTAACATCGGACTCAGACTTCTTATAAACTTTTGCTGTGCGTATTGCTGTGTGTTTGTTTATTCTACATTGGCTAGAGGTATGGAGGGGGGAGGGGTGAGATCTCACAAAACATATTTGATAATATAAATAATTTGACGCTTGCGTGATACGAAACAAAAGTTCAGATTGAACACCCCTTTGCTTCATGAGGTTTGGAACTTGACTGAGAATTGTTATTTACAGTAATAATTTTTAGAAATTTTAATATGGCAAGCGAATTTATCACTTCGTATTAGCTGTAAAAAGTAAAACAACAAAATTACCGAACTCCAAGGAAAACTGAAAACGGAATGTCCCTTATCAATTATTAAAAAACACCGTCATAGACATGCTTTATTGAGAACTACAATGTTCCATAATACAGGTAATCGGGCACAGTTTCCAAGTTACAGTCATCTCCCTTACAACAAAATGAGCATTGGAAATGAGCGTCTTGTAGTTTTAAGACGTTATAGTGCTTACATTCATTCCTGTCAGCCGATTCTGTAATCCAACTTTTAATACACTCTTCTGATGTTGCACATCTGAAATATGAATCGCCCGATCATGAGCTTATAAATGCAGCAAAAATTGGGAACTTATCGGTTTATATGTCAGAAATATATGACATACTTATATACAAGTTTGCAATTTTTAATGCCCATTGACTCCAGAATAGAAAAAAAGGTAGTAGCTACTGGTGTATGTATATTGAGATAGAGAGATGTCTACTACTTTACATGGTAAGATGACAAAATACAAAATATTCGAGTTTCTCAGTCTTTTGTTTTCTATGCTGTGTAATGTATACTGTTGTATGCTGTGTAATGTATACTGCTGTATGCTGTGTAATGTATACTGTTGTTTGTCATTTGTTTTTTTTTCTTTTTGGTCATGGCGTTGTCAATTTATTTTCGATTTATAAGTTTGAATGTGCCTTTGGTATCATTCGCCTCTCTTTGACCAGAACAAGTATACATAGTTAAATGGCAATGGGCGTTCTGCATGACTTTGAATGTCCCTTTTGTATCTTTTGCCTCTCTTCTACATGTTTCGAAAACATTTTTCACTTCCACAGTAAAACTAAAGCTATGTTCAATTAGAAAAAAAATATAGATATATTTGACCCCAAGGTAGTTTAGCGGATATGCATTGAAAAACAACTATCAATAGATCATTTATAAGCTTAAGATTCCAGGTTTTGGAAATTGTTTTTTATTTCAAACTGAAAACTAAAACTTTATCAGAATCAAGATATATGTTTTCTACATATTGTATAAACACTTTAAATAGTCTCTCATAACCCTTTTAGAGTGGATCTTGTATGTTATGTGATTATGTTTTATTAACTATTTGTATGTTTTATAAAATGAGGAGGTGAGACTTAAATATGATATTGTCTTGTCTTGTCTTGTCTATTTTCCAATTCATGATGAAAGGGACCAATGTCCTTAAGAACATTTAAAAAAAATGATCGCCAACATCATCATTTTATGTGACATTGATATTTTTTCCCTCAAGTTTATACTACAAATTGTCGTCAAATTAAGTTACTTGAATTTACCTTCACAAGGTTTTCAAAGTTCAGTCTTTTTTGTGAACAAAGTAACTGCATGGATGATGGATGACCACAATAATAAGATAGCTTAAAAAGTTTGTACTCTGATCAAGGTATAAAGAACCATATTTTTTGTAACGTGTCTTTTTAGAAATTTAAAAAATATTTTTTAAAACCAACAATTTTAATAGCAGGATATATAGAAATCATTGTGAAAACTAATAACATATTAATATTACACTTCGGCACTTTTCGGTCTTAATATCTTGATAACCATACAATGCAATCTTATCCTTGTGGTCATTCATATATATATATATTAGCGGCAATAAGTGAAATTAGGCATTTAAAGCTTAAATCCTAGGCAATAAGCTAACGCCTAGGCATTAAGTTATTGCCTGAAATTTTCAGGTATTAAGCTTATTTTCTGAAATCTGATGAAGATTATTCAACCTATTGCCGAACATCATTTCAGGCAATAAGTTAACTTTAAAATTTTTGGTTATCTTCCAAATACATGAACATTCGGTGAAATATTCTTGAGGAATAATATTTTAAAAATTATATTCCAAAAGTTAACTTACTTGTATTCCTTTGTAGTATTGCAAAAATAATGGGTTTTAAACAAGTACTTGTATCTAATGGAAAAAGAAATCTGTCTGAAAATTATTCAATGAAAATGCAATGGTCGAGCCGGTGAAGATATGAAATTCTGCCAGTCACATCATCTTTCCATCTGTTTTAATTGGATATGTAAATTTTCGTAGATACCGATCTTGTCTTAATCTGGATTATAGCAACAACAAATTTCTTGAATCTTTGCGGAATATAAATTTGAATCAGGGAAAACAAAGATCATATACCAAAGGCAAAAGACAGTACAATGATCATTTGGCAAAGATTAAACTTTCAAAATCAGAAAAGAAAGCAGCTAAAGACTTACAATTTAAAACGGTTTGACATTTTTTACCATTGGAGGTTTGAAAGACTGGTAACAAAAGTAAAAGAAAATATCGAGGGAAATTCCAAAGTTTATATTTTTCTAGAAGAACTGTATTTTGGGAAAACACATAAAGAAATACGTCAAAGTGGCCTGTTATTATTATAGACCGTATAATTAAGCAACCTTATAATGGCTTTACAAAAATTTTCCATGATTAAATTGTACTATTTCTTTCATTTTGTGAAAATTGTAACATA